AATTCTATATTCTGTGACAAAATTTCACCGGCTAATTCGGAAACTTGCACAATAGTCAAAATGCAGCAGCTTAATTCTATAATTCTATATTATGTGACAATTTAAATGGCTAATTTAGAAACCTGTGTAACAGTTAAAATACAGCAGTTTAATTCTATAATTCTATATTATGTGACAAAATTTCAACGGCTAATTCGGAACCTTGAATAGTCAAAATTCAGCAGTTTTATTCTATAATTCTATATTCCGTGACAAAATTTCAACGGCTAATTCGGAACCTTGAATAGTCAAAATTCAGCAGTTTAATTCTAGAATTCTATATTCCGTGACAAAATTTCAATGGCTAATCCGGAAACTTGAATAGTCAAAATGCAGCAGCTTAATTCTATAATTCTATATTCAGTGACAAAATTTCAAGGCTAATCCGGAAACTTGAATAGTCAAAATGCAGCAGCTTAATTCTATAATTCTATATTCCGTGACAAAATTTCAATGGCTAATCCGGAAACTTGAAGTCAAAATGCAGCAGTTTAATTCTACAATTCTATATTCTGTGACAAAATTTCAACGGCTAATTCGGAAACTTGCACAATAGTCAAAATGCAGCAGCTTAATTCTATAATTCTATATTATGTGACAAAATTTAAATGGCTAATTTAGAAACCTGTGTAACAGTCAAAATACAGCAGTTTAATTCTATAATTCTATATTATGTGACAAAATTTCTACGGCTAATTCGGAAACTTGAATAGTCAAAATGCAGCAGTTTAATTCTATAATTCTATATTCCGTGACAAAATTTCAACGGCTAATTCGGAAACTTGAATAGTCAAAATTCAGCAGTTTAATTCTATAATTCTATATTCCGTGACAAAATTTCAACGGCTAATTCGGAAACTTGCACAATAGTCAAAATGCAGCAGCTTAATTCTATAATTCTATATTATGCGACAAAATTTAAATGGCTAATTTAGAAACCTGTGTAACAGTCAAAATTCAGCAGTTTAATTCTATAATTCTATATTATGTGACAAAATTTCTACGGCTAATTCGGAAACTTGAATAGTCAAAATGCAGCAGTTTAATTCTATAATTCTATATTCCGTGACAAAATTTCAACGGCTAATTCAGAAACTTGAATAGTCAAAATTCAGCAGTTTAATTCTATAATTCTATATTCCGTGACAAAATTTCAACGGCTAATCCGGAAACTTGAATAGTCAAAATGCAGCAGCTTAATTCTATAATTCTATAATCTTAAACGAATTTTAAATCATGATTCAAATTAGTGCATTTGTGCATGATCGTGTAATTTTCTTAACAATAGCCACGAAAGTGTATTTTCTAAGTATGCTTACGTGGCCTTTTGCTTTGCTTTTGTTGTATTATATTCTGCAAGTACAGTAATTACAAAAATGATTTGAAGTACAGCACACATGCACTTTTCTCACAAGGGTACCAGAAAATTTCAGCATTATTTGTTAACACCAAAATAAACGAGGTGTGAAATGCCACCGCATGCAGAATCCATGAAAACGTGAAATTATTTCACAGTGGACTGTGGAGGCAGGTCTGTTCCCTCTTTATCTAAATGGTTAATGGCTTTTTGTTGAGCTGAAAAGAACCCAGATAGAAATAAGAAGCTTTTCATCTGAAAGCCCAGGCCTCCTTCCAGAATCACATCTGAAGAGACTCTCTGCCATTCTCATTCACTTCAGTAATGCATACGGGCCAAATGTTCTTCTCTACAGTGCAAATTTGACTACCAAACCTGATTAAAGTGTATTCTAATGGAGGAAACTCTTTCATCTTGATTAAACTCAAATTTAGGGAATTAAGCTTCAATTTTCAGTTGCACTCAAGAAAGTGAATATAATCTCGTATTGAAAATCAATACATGAACACAAGACCGATTGCTCCCTTCAAGTCCATATTTGTCTAATTAAAGGAATGGAGATTACGTAATGAAGAAACATGCACACATATGGGTGAATCTCTGAAATATCAACACCAGCCTCGCTTTAATCTGTCGAGTCCATGCAAATGTGCACCACTTGAGATTTGCATTGCATGCACAGCACCTACAGTATATGCACTTTTCCAAAATCTTGATGTGTTTCAGGCTCTACTAGAACAGGTTTTCCTGCTTGAATGTTGATTATTCTCCTCATATTCTCCATTGTTGCGGCTCCTCTCTTCCCAGTCTGTCAGTAACGCTCTGTTAATTTACTGTATTTTATTTTTATCATAATTTTTGTTTTTCATTATTTCTTATTTTTTATTCTAAACTGTTTTAATTATTCCGATTTCTTTTGATTATTTTAATTTCTTCTATGCAAAGCACTTTGAATTGCCATTGTGTATGAAATGTGCTATATAAATAAACTTGCCTTGCCTGTTCACTTCCTGTCTCTATGAAGCCCCTCCTTCTGAAAAGCACACTGTGCTCTGATTGGTCGAGCGCTTTGAGTGCGTTTGGGAAATGTTCCGCCCCTTTCCATAACCGCCAGTTTAACGCACTCCTAACTAACTCAACCAGGCCCCGCCCCTTTATTCTGCGTATGAATTATCCTCTGGTGCTCTTCTGTCATTTTTGACCGAAAAATTTATTTTTTTACTTCATCAGAATGGTACGAAATTTGGTAAATGTTTCGGCACTTGCTGTGAACACAAAACCAATCATGGTCATGATTCGAACACGTTAAATGGTCCTGAAATAAACATTCACACTTGCGACTGGAAACGAATGGGAGACGAATTCCATCTAGTGGAAGCGTTTGGTACTGCAGCCAAACACAATCTCACTGAAAGCTCGTTTGGAACACGACTTGTTTAAGAGTTCTCACAGTTTTAGTGTAAAACATGTTTTTGAGAATATATATTTCATATTTTGTATAACAATAAACGTTAAAAAATGCTCACTGTTTCGGGTAATACTTTGCTATGCTCAAAAAGTGAAGAAATGGATTATAAATATAATTTAGTACCATAAAATCCCCTAAAAATACAAAATATGAAATAAAACATTCCTTTCATTGGAATAATAAAATAATTTCTGTTATTTTTTGACCAATGAGAGGAATATTGTGACGTGAATATTCGAAGACTACAATCGAGGACACTGATATTTAACAAAGAATAACTCTACAACACACACTAAAGAAAGACACTCTTCCACATATTCACACGGTTCTGCACGCGGATCTGCTCCCCTGCCGAGTCTGGAGCGGATCTCTCCTCAGGTCTGTTGGAACGAGGAGCCATCTGGAGTGTGACTGTGTGTTCCTGCCAGCACTGAGACTCTCCGTACACACACACACACACACTGCGTGCGTCAGACTCCGCGGTACACCAGCAGCTCCAGCCCAACGCATGCTAACTCAAGCTAACAACCAGAGAAAACAAGGAGTGAGACGTTCCTCAAGAACAACGTCAAAGTCAGCATGAAGTGTTCTCTTCCCTATCGTGACGTATGAAACACGTCTGGTGGAGGAACAAATGTGGGCGGGGCTTGATTTTGTCCGTAGGGAATTGATTGGATGGTCGTGCTTTGCTATTGGCGCCTCGCACCATAAACACGTCATCAGAGAAGAAAACGATCAAATAAAAGGCACATCCGTTGAATAAAAGATGATGTGCATGGATAAATAATTTATAATAAACACTAATATTCCATTACTGTCATTTTTCAAAAAAATTCTCACTTTTGTATCATTCAACTATTTTAGCATTATTTTCTCTGTAAAGCTGCTTTGAAACTCAGTGTTGTAAATAAAAGGTGAGTTGACTCTTGAGGCCTCTGAGAAATATATTTCACACACGCACTCACTGTTTCCAGTTCAATGACGGACGCTGCGGGTTTTGCTGATTTTTCTTTCATTCTGGATACATGATATATAGTCCTGACAGGAGCATTTTCACAGTCTGAATGTAAATGACCAGATAGCGACCTGACTGACCACCGAAAGCTTTTAAACAGCTTTACCATGTAAATCAGAATATCATTGAATTAATGTTGCGTGGTCAAAAATTGCAAAGCAGTGAAAAATGCTGGGTTGTTTTAACCCAACTTTGGGTCAAATATGGTTACATTTTTTAGTACACTCTAAAAAATGCTGGGTTGTTTTAACCCAATTTTGGGTAAAATATGGACAAACCCAGCCATTTGGGTTAAAAATGTAATTTAAGAATATAACCCAATGGCTGGGTTTGTCCATATTTTACCCAAAATTGGGTTAAAACAACCCAGCATTTTTTAGAGTGTACATTTTTAACCCATCGTTTGGGTTTGTCCATATTTGACCCAAAGTTGGGTTAAAACAACCCAGCATTTTTAGAGTGAACGAAGCGCATGAGTGCTGGATGATTGGACCACTAGTTTTATAAATCTAAAAACTTCAATCTCTGACCTCAAAGTACAAGAATTTAATCACAGAGTCAGAGAACACTGAATTAACCTTGAACTGCACAACATTAATAACATCTACATCAACAGAGCAGATCCTCGTATACGCATCAAAGATTAAACGTGCATTTGAAGTCCATTCATGCATCAGAATTCAAATGAATAACTTTGGCAGCTTGTTTAAAGAGTCTCGTGCATGATTACCATGCATCTCCCAACAATAAAATCACTTTAAAAATGCATATTTTCAGAATTCTCTGAACAGAATTCTCAAAATTTTGAGTTGTAAAACGACCCATATTGGGATCAATTAATTATATTCAACAATTGAATCATTCTGCACTCAGTAACCTGAGCATAACGTCACCCTTACAAAAAGTTTACCATGGAAACCAACCCATACTGGGGTAAAATGCCATCGCAAAACAATCAAATAGACTTCAAAACCTTGTGCCACAGTTTTACAGTAAGCTTCTACAAACAAGTATAGCATTTAGTCGAAAACGTGTGGCAAGTTTGTGTAAAGGCTGTGAGATACTCATACAAGTATAATACATCCGTGCAGGAGGAGGACAATAAAACTATCGGAACCGACCTGTGCAGATGCTGACGATGATGATGATAATGATGATGAGGGACTGAGATATCAGATCATTTCCAGCACCATGGAAAGCGCGATTCAACATCCACTCGGACTGTGTTTGAGATCCTCCTGTTGCCCGATGATGATCCAGACCCGGCTCGGCTCGGTCCGTCGGAATGATGCGCGGGTGTGATCTCTCTCTATATACGTATATATTTCCTTTGCGAGTCTCTATGGAAGGAAAGCGTAAAAGTGTTCACGCATCTGCAGTGCGCGCGCGCGCGGGATCCGCGGGAAACTGTCTGCAGGTTTAGTTCTGTGTGATGAAGAGGAGGATCGGAACTGAAACTCCCAGTACAGACGAATGAGTGCATGCGCCGCCTCTTAGAGAGAGAGAGAGAGAGAGAGAGAGAGAGAGAGAGATGGAGAGAGAGAGAGAGCGCAGTGTGGGTGTCCTCGCGCTGTGATTCAGTGTGAATAGAGTGGATCTGTATCTGCGTTCACTCATCATCATCATCACACAGCATTGCGAGAGCGAATCTCATGAAATCCGCCAAGAACATGTGCAATCACATTCAATTTCACCCACAAAAAAAAAAAAAAAAAAAAAAAAAAAAAAATGTTTTGCTTGGAGAAAGAAAATAAAGTAGGCTAATCTTTAGGGCCATCACGATTTTTGCATGTCGACATTCATGGAAATGTGTTGGATTTGCTTTAAAAAAAAAAAAACTTTCACACTGAAATCGCTAGTACGTTTCTCAAATAATTACAAAAAAAAGAGCAAGTGCGTTGAATCAAAAGTTAGATTTTTAAGTAGAAAGACTGAAATAGTATTTAAAACATTCTCCAAAAATCGTTTAACATAGGGTACAACTTCGAAAAATAATTATAAATATATATTTGTTATCGTTATTTTATTTCTTTTCTTACTTGCATCGCCTTTCTAGAGCCCAAGGTTGCTTGCATTAGGTTAGACTGAATACTATGAAATCAATGGCTACCATACCATCAACTGGTTACCAACATTCTTCAAAATATCTTCTTTTGTGTTCAACAGAAGAAACTCATACAGGTTTGGAACAACATAAGGGTGAGTAAATGACAGAATTGTCATTTTTGGGGGAACTATCCCTGTAAGGTGGTTTTGCCTCCAGCCATAGCTTGAGGTCTTTGATGCAGGTTTTGTATAGAGGAAACATTAAGATGCGAAGAGTGCTAAAATAAACTTGTATGCTAAAACAAGTCTAAGTGGTAACTAGTAAAAAAGTAGAGGGCCCAGGACAGAGCCTTGAGGTACACCAGGTATGAATTTGTGTAGATTTAATGTAATTCAGATGTACTACATTCACCAAGATAGGACATCCAGAAAGTGCAGTTCTGTGGGGTGAAACCCACTGGTCTAGGACAAACAGCAAAACATTTATGAATGAGTACAAATATTAGTCCACATCTTGGAGGTGTTAAGAGTAAACGTAAGAGCAACTTTTTTTTTGGGGGGGGGGGGGGGCAGATACATAAGGGATTATATAAGTTATGTTTTGTTGTTTATCTTGTTGATAGCTTTTGTATTGTATTGCGCCAGTTTGCTCCTGTGTGAATGTGTTTGTGTGTGTGTGTGTCAGGGAATCCGATAGTTTCTGGAGATGATTGTATGTGATTCAGAGAATCCATCCTCAGTAACCTGTTTATCCGTCTCCTCGGGTCCAGAGGCTCAGCCCGTCTGCCCATCTCTGTCTGTCTGTCTGCATGTCTCTACCTGTCTGTATTTCTCTACCTATCTGTCTGTTTCTATCTGTCTCTGTCTATCTGTCTCTACCTGTCTGTCTGTCTGTTTCTGTCTGTCTGTCTGTCTCTACCTGTCTGTATTTCTCTACCTATCTGTCTGTCTCTGTCTGTCTCTGCCTGTCTTTCTCTGTCTATCTGTCTCTACCTGTCTGTCTGTCCGTACCTGTCTGTCTCTTACCTGTCTGTCTGTCTGTACCTGTCTGTCTCTACCAATCTGTCTGTCTGTCTCTACCTGTCTGTATTTCTCTACCTATCTGTCTGTCTCTGTCTGTCTCTGCCTGTCTTTCTCTGTCTGTCTCTACCTGTCTGTCTGTTTCTGTCTGTCTGTTTCTGTCTGTCTGTTTCTGTCTCTACCTGTCTGTCTGTTTCTGTCTGTCTGTTTCTGTCTCTACCTGTCTGTCTGTCTCTGCCTGTTTGTCTGTCTCTACCTGTCTGTCTGTCTGTCTCTACCTGTCTGTCTGTCTCTACCTATCTGTCTGTCTCCGTCTGTCTCTGCCTGTCTTTCTCTGTCTATCTGTCTCTACCTGTCTGTCTGTCTGTACCTGTCTGTCTCTACCAATCTGTCTGTCTCTATCTGTCTGTCTGTCTCTGTCTGTCTCTACCTATCTGTCTCTGTCTGTCTGTCTCTATCTGTCTGTCTGTCTGTCTGTACCTGTCTGTCTCTACCTATTTGTCTGTCTCTACCTGTCTCTACCTGACTGTCTGTCTCTCTCTATCTGTCTGTCTGTACCTGTCTGTCTCTACCTATTTGTCTGTCTCTACCTGTCTGTCTGTCTCTACCTGTATGTCTCTGGCTGTCTGTCTCTACCTGTCTGTCTGTCTCTACTTATCTGTCTGTCTCTACCTATCTGTCTCTGTCTGTCGGTCTCTACCTGTCTTTCTCTACCTATCTGTCTGTCTCTACGTACCTGTCTGTCTCTATCTAGCTGTCTCTACCTAGATACCTGTCTCTACCTGTCTGTCTCTAAAGAGAGAGAGGCATGCAGCAAACTTCAACATTCACTTCTGTATATATAATGCATAATGAAAAATAATAAAAGTTTGAATCAGAAATGCAAAAAGTTCTTCAGGCTATAAAATCAAAAGACGTGTGCAAGAGAATAATTATTTTAGAGCAAGCGAGACTGGTCATGTTCTACATCTTTCATGCAAATAAGATTGTCTCAAAGTTCACAAAGGCAGAAAATGATCCGTATTACCAACTTCAGAGGCAGTTAGAGACGCTTTGGTTGACTGAACTCAATATCTCAATGTTTTTAAAGACCCCGCAAAATGTGTTTATCTGCTAAAAGTCCCTTTTATGACCTCAAAGCTAAAAGACAAGAAGGAAACATTAATCATCAAAAGCAGATAAAATCATGATTTATTTTTTGATGATTAAATTCACCTGTCTCTGTCATGTCGCCCTCTGCTGCACAGGGACTGAACTGCATTTACACAAACATGATCTCCATTGAACAGCTTCAGCATGTTAAGCCTTTCTTAATGCAGGTCCCAGTGTATTAAAAGCTATCATTAGCATTCCCATTCATCTCAATGGCTGTTTCTACGGTGGTCTTTTTTCCGAACGGCAAACACTTGCTCTGAAGTGCAGCAAATTGATTCTTTAGTTTCAGATGCTTGATCCGGCGCTCCGTCACTGATTGCATGAGCATTTGTGAAGCGTATGCCAAGAGTTTAGCGCTCACAGCATTGAACGTCAGAAAAACATCTCAGGGCCTGGAGAGAGAAACTGCCAAGAAGAAGCCAGTGTGTTTGTTCAGTTCATCATGTGTCAGTCAGAGGGGAAGGAAGAAAGGAAGGAAGGAAATAAGGAAGGAAAGAAAGGGAAGGAAGGACGGAAGGAATGAAAGGAAGGAAAGGAAGGAAGGATGGAAAGAAAGGGAAGGAAGGACGGAAAGAAAGGGAAGGGAGGAAGGAAGGAATGAAAGGAAGGAAAGAAAGGAGGGAAGGAAGGAAGGAAGGAAGGACAGAAAGAAAGGGAAGGAAGTAAGGAAGGAAGGATGGATGGAGTGAAGGAGGAAAGAGAGGAATGAAGGGAGGAAGGATGGAAAGAAAGGGAAGGAAGGACGGAAAGAAAGGGAAGGAAGGACGGAAAGAAAGGGAAGGGAGGAAGGAAGGAATGAAAGGAAGGAAGGATGAAGGAAGTAAGGAAGGAAAGAAAGGAAAGGGAGGAAGGAAGGAAGGAAGGAAGGACAGAAAGAAAGGGAAGGAAGTAAGGAAGGAAGGATGGATGGAGTGAAGGAGGAAAGAGAGGAATGAAGGGAGGAAGGAAGGAAAGAAAGGGAAGGGAGGACTGAAAGGAAGGAAGGAAGTCAGGAAGGAAGGAAATAAGAAAAGAAGTAAAGAAGGAAAGAAAGGAAAGGGAGGAAGGAAGGAAGGACAGAAAGAAAGGGAAGGAAGTCAGGAAGGAAGGATGGAGTGAAGGAGGAAAGAGAGGAATGAAGGGAGGAAGGAAGGAAAGAAAGGAAGGAAGGAAGGAAAGGAAGGAAAGGAAGGAAATAAGGAAAGAAGTAAAGAAGGAAGGAAGGAAGGAAGGAAGGACGGAGTGAAGGAGGAAAGAGAGGAATGAAGGGAGGAAGGAAGGAATGAAAGGAAGGATGAAGGAAGGAAGGAAGGAAGGAAAGAAGTAAGGAAGGAAGGAAGGAAGGAAAGAAAGAAAGGAAATAAGGAAAGAAGTAAGGAAGGAAAGAAAGGAAAGGGAGGAAGGAAGGAAGGACAGAAAGAAAGGGAAGGAAGTCAGGAAGGAAGGAAGGATGGAGTGAAGGAGGAAAGAGAGGAAGGAAGGAAAGAAAGGAAGTAAGGAAGTAGGAAGGAAAGAAGGAAAGGAAGGAAGGATGGAAAGAAAGGGAAGGGAGGACGGAAAGAAAGGGAAGGGAGGAAGGAAGGAATGAAAGGATGAAGGAAGGAAGGAAGGAAGGAAGGAAGGAAGGAAGGAAGGAAGGAAGGAAGGAAGGAAGGAAGGAAGGAAGAAAGGAAGGAAAGAAAGAAAGGAAAGAAGGACGGAAAGAAAGGGAATGAAGGACGGAAAGAAAGGGAAGGAAGTAAGGAAGGAAAGAAAGGGAATGAAGGAAGAGTATATTTGCCACACACGTCATGAAACGCTGAAAATCTTCAATATAATATAAATATTAAATTCAATTTAATTCACATTAATTTATAGCGCATCGTAAACACACATCTTCAAAGCAGCTTTACAGAAATGAAAAGTCCACATTACAGTTTGGAGTGATGTGTTATCAGAGATGACCAAGTTATGCATTTCAGAAATGTACATATAAAAAAAAAAATCAATTAGCTAAAAATGTATTAATTAATAATTTACGGCAGAAACAATGAGCTCATTGAAGTAATGAATACTTCCTAAAATACTCCATTATACACCAGCAACAGCTGTATACTGTACTCACATCCCCTAATCATGTGCACTAACAGAGCCGCTATAACCCTGACTGGAGCGCGCGTCACCTCGGACTGGAGGCGTTTGTGTTTTATGAAGGATGTTTTCAAATCCCTGAGGAGCAAATGCATGCATACATCCGG